TCTTTTTGGAAAACATTTGTTATTTTTGTACCCTTTGGAACGTAAAGAAGCATTAAAATGAAGGAAAAGCACTAACAAAAAAGACATCTGCTTTTTTTGTGGGAGATAAGCAAATGAAAACATTCAAGTGTCTTAAATCTGTACTGAAATAAATACAATATTTGAGTACGTGCGCTTAGTTGCTTTCAACCAGTGGAAATGAATAAACCCTTATTATAATTCTGAGATGATTCCACAATCTCCTCATTTAGCTGCCGATACAATCAAAGATCAACTAAAACTTTAGAAACAAAAATTTAAAAAAAAGCAGGAAGGCAAAAACACTGAAACATTAAAAACTGGAAAAATGCCTTAAGGCACAAAATAACTACCAATATCATAGAGTTTCTAATTTGTAATTTCTGGCAACTTACTTTGAAATTCCATCTTCACCTTTAGCTTTTGTGACACTTACTTGAAGCTGCTGATGGTGGACATATGACAGTCGTTTTCATGTCTGTTGATGAGGCCAAAAAGGGTCAGGTCATCCAGAAATGTAACCCATCTGACAGGCAGGAAGCAAAGAGACGCACTCATCGGTGTCCAGGGAGTTGAGTCGGGGACAGATACACCAAAGACAGGTGGGGTCACGCTGGATACAGGAAGTCTAATAATATCCAACCGGAGATTTATGAAGTGATGTTCGGCTGGGAAATTTGCCCACAGAGCACTTCCAGGATGATGGGGCTCAATTCACAGCTACTGTATATTCCACATACAATATCCTGATGGTGGAGTCATTGAGGTTATAGGAGTTCTCAGACGAATTATAGGCCCATATTGAGACTGCAGACGCTTCAGTTTGTGGGCCAACAGCAGAGGTCAAGGAGTGACTCTGTGGAACATGCGATGGAAGAAAACACCAAGAGGTTCAAGGACTTCATTACGACTGCGGTCAGTGTCCTTGGCCTGAACTCATAGAGAAAGGTGAGCTTCACCGTCTTCAGCGCAGGAATTATTAAAGTCTTGTCATTTATGGACGAACAGCACTGGTTAGATGTCACAGCGAGTGTTGCAGCTGGCAAAAACAAAGAATATTTCACAGGTAGAGCAAAACCATGAAAAAAAAATCACTTAAACACTTTCATAGCTGTTACATTTTTCCTGCCCTAAGGTTATGTGAGATAAATTGGTATTAGCTGCTGAAGTGTTTTACCCCCGGGCAACCTTCCATGAGCTCGTATTGACGAGGTTATTGTTCTCGCGCTGACTGTTTAATACATAACCTCCGTGAAACTCCAACATGTGGAGGATGTGATTTAAACAGATGGCCCATTTGAAACTTGTAACGTGATTTCCTACATTTTCATGAAGGGAATCACGTATTTCTGTGTGATGATAACAACGCAGTCCCACAATAAACAGAGCGCGCCTCGGTTTGTACCTCTTTGATTGGGCCAGTTGGGTGTTGAAGTGTTGTTTGGACCACAACAGTGTGAAAAATGTACAGCACATAGTTAGCTTGTCTTGGAGGCATGGTCAGGACAGGAAGGTCTGACAGAGTTTGGATGAAGATTATATCTAAAACATTGTGAATGAGTTGTTATACAGCGGCCAGATAACAACCCCTATAAGAATACTGAGGAGCAGGCACATGGACGGCAACTCTGAGTCTACCTGCTATAAATAAGTTGCTATAAGCTGCTTCTAAGCAATGTTGTTTTCTTTGCTTTCACTGCACACATTTTCAATTTTTCAGGACAACAAACACAAAAGAGAGGTCGCTCTTTTCAAAATTTCAAGGCGGTACAAACCAATCCAACATGCCATCTTCCAAAACAGAAACAGAGACTACCTATATTTCACGCCAGCCTTCTGCCAGACTGGGTGGTGTTTCCCTGACCTCATCATCATCCACAACAGGGTCACATACTGGAATAAACTCTAACATTCTTGTGATGTGTTTTTCTCAATAGGCGCCTTACACGTCTGTGGTCAGATGAGCACATTTGGGTGAATTAGACTCATAAAAAATAGTCGTGTTTCAGTCTTAAGGTTAGTACGTTTTTTGGTTTTTTTTCCTTTCTACTTTATTCCAAAAGCTTCAAACTCAGCTGTGATCTTATAGCAGTTAGTACTCTGCGTTGTGGCGGCCGCAACCCCGGTTTGAATCCGGATCACGGCAGGTTTTTTTAAGAGGATAAGCGTAGATTAATCTCCATCATCATGCTTGTCAGAGCTTGGAATTGAGAAACACAGGCTATACAGTGGATTTACACTCAGTTGCTGCTGCGTTTTCTAGCCGGTGCAAATCCTACCTTTGCAAAGGTTGTAACTGTTTCAAGGAGATGACTGAACTCTGGAGCCATTTCAGAGGATGTAGTGCTCTTGTGTCCAAGCAATTAAATCAGTGAGTGCAGGCTAAATAACTGAACCACTTCTCTGTATAGCGCAATAAAGTTCAACAGCATCCTCTAAAATTGTCATAAAGTTGAATCAACATCGCTCTAAAACTAATAACTGTAACCTTCATTGCAGGAGTACCGGATTAGATTGTATTACTTTTGAGGTTTGGTACAAACTACAGGGTAGAGTGGTGGCTCCTCCTTATGACATGAGCTCCCCTGAAAAGACGATTTGGGAAATATGGGGGGAATCTATACAAAACTGTCTATACGGTATCATTAACAGAAATTTCTATTTTTCTGTATCATCATCATCATCGTTGATCATGCATAAAGTTGGGCTATTATTCATGTTAGATTAATCCATGTGGGTGATTCACCACTAATTCGCTTTAATATAGATACCAGCATGCATGCTGTTCTTACAATCATCATCAAAGCGTAATGGCCCAATATCAAACTGGCAACTGTGCTTCAACTCCTCTGAGGTAAAAAAAAATTTTCTGAGAATAATTTTATGCTTTTTGACACCTCTGATCTGGAACACATCGCCAGTAGGGGTGGCCAGCCGTGATCGTATAGTGGTTAGTACTCTGCGTTGTGGCCGCAGCAACCCCGGTTCGAATCCGGGTCACGGCAGCCAGTTTTGACACAGTGACAGCTGCACAAACAGAGAGATGTTAACAAAAATATTCCTCACCAACCCTGCTTAGAAAAAAAAAAATGAGAGGAATGAGTGGTGTGTTTGCTACTCTCCCGACGTGGCTAGAAATGTGTTCAAAAAGAAGTGTTTACATTGATCTGTTTATTTACTGTCTATACTTTTAGAGGATTACTGGGTAAATCCACCTGACAGCAATTTAATTCAATCAGTTGTTCCACTGTACCTGAACGGCTCAGTTAAGTTTGTGGACATTTTGAGGCTACAGGGTCACACTGTTGGACATGTTCAACCAAAGCTGTGAATCCAGTCTCTCATCCCATTTTGCCTAAAATTATTTTTTAGACGACGAATGGTAGAGCTGTGGCCATTCATTCTATGCCTGGTTAACTGACATGCCAGCATCCAGCAGCCAACATCTGTGGCATTGTGTCATTTGAAGAAAGCTGCATTTGTAGGAGGCCTTTAATAGTCACTGGTCGCACTATCTAATCATTGTCCTTTAAAGCAACATCTGACTAGAGTGTGAATTAACTTAATGGTCAAGAAAATGTCACCAGCTGAAAAGCTCAAAAACTTTTGTGTGGAGAATTAGCAAAGAGTATTTTAACCTTTTCTCTAAGTCAGAAAACAAGACCATTTACAAGCTGCATTTATACTTTTGTTCAATGTGTGAACATCTTTTTAACACCTTTCGTCTTGTGTAGAACAAATTTCTCCATTATTGCAATTAACTACGTCTCCAAGTGTTTGACATCATGTGTAAAAAATATCAGAACATGTCTCTGAGGCAGAAAAGTGCTTCCGAATGGGGCAAAGCTAGAGTTTTTTTGGTGAAGTTGTCAGAGAAGAGGATGCTGAGGAAACTACTCAGTATCCTGGACAACGCCTCTCATCCCCTGCAACCACACTGGTGTCACTTCAGAGCATCTTCAGCCGTAGACTGAGACCACCGAGGTGCAGCACAGAACGCCACAGGAGGTCTTTTCTACCAGTGGCAATCAAACCGTATAACTCCCTCTGCTTCTGCAGGACTGACAGCAGAAACATTGGATGCTGAACACTGCATGTCAGCTGCAATGTTATTGTCTCAACAGTTTGTGCAATATCAATTTTAATATCATGTGCTATATTTTATTTTCATGTACAATATGTCAGTGTCAAGTTACCTAAGGTCATATGAACAGAAAGATATTGCACATGCTTCTTTTATACAGTTGTTTTGGTTCCTCAGTATGGATAAGGAGATGCGAGTGGTGACTGTGTTTGAAGGAATTTATTCTGTAAATTTAATCACAGAAATAGGCAGTGACACAGAGAACTAGAAATTTCATTGCACCTATAACTTGTTATTGCTGGATATGACACTAAAGCCTTTGTATTGAAGTGTATTCCAATGTGCAATATTTCATTTTTTAGGAGCGATATTTCGATTTCAAGTTTCATTATCATGCGGAATTACGTTACTACATCAGACTCACCGTGATGTGGAGCAGCGGTGCAGTCATCCGAGCGGGTGGCCAGCCGTGATCGTATAGTGGTTAGTACTCTGCGTTGTGGCCGCAGCAACCCCGGTTCGAATCCGGGTCACGGCAGCTATTCTTTATGGACAAATAAGCATCCATTATGAATAGACATGATTAGAAAATTGGGTAATTAGGCTAACAAGTGGATATTAATCCCATAAACCTAACACGTCGCATTATTTGACTGTCTTATCAGTTATAAAAATCGTATCAATGTAAGCGTGCATAATTACTAGCAAAGTAGTGTTTTGTTCATGTGGATAATAACTTTGTCTTTCAGTTCTTCTTTTTATAAAAGTTTCCACGTAATATGATAAATATTCATAGATAATATTGGCAATTTTTTCGAGCTAAATCGCTTTTTACTTCAACTATACTCCACAAGTGCTCCGTAAGTCTCGCGTTACTTCTCCCTCAAATCTCGTCCAAGCAAGCAACCAGGAAACGAATGGCGGAAATATAGATCCAGCTCACTGTTCCAGCTCACAATTTTGGGACATACCTGGGTTGTTTTCACTGGAAAGGAAAGCCCAGCCGAGTCGACGGCAGATGTCTTCATCCGAACACAGTGGACGGTGTTGAAGAAACGATGTTGTCGCGCTGAATCCGGCTGGCGGGATCGGTAAAGTGAATGGACGGATGGGCAGCCAATGATCCAGCTGAGAGTGTCCTGTCACCGACAGCCTGCCACATCAAAAACACCGGTAATGTTCAGCGTTAACGTCTGAATTTTACTTTAATTATATGCCTTAGCGTTTGAGGAAAAAGATAACGTGTTATAAATGGCAACTCTGACACTGTGCGCAAGGAGTTTAGACAGCAGATGTCATGAAACCTGCGAAATCACATGCTTTGATGGTGGATTGCAAAACCTCACAGATGCAGCCATATGGACAACTTTAAGGCATGTGTCACTGAGTTTGAGTTATTTAAAGGGTTTCAGATTGCCTCTGGCTTGCCAGATGAATGAATCAGTGGTAGGAAGGTGCAACAGCTATTCCAGTAATTCTCTAAAGTGGTCACAATATGTCTACTACTTAGGAATAGCAGCTGCAAAAATCTGTGTAAATGTAATTTCTACCAGTGTCAGGTATTGTATTACCTGCCATTGAAGTCCTGCCAAAATGTGACACCTTGCCTTTCTCGGTAGTGTAATGATCACAAAACTGGAAGAGCAAGTTCTGGCAAGTGTTCTTGACCAGCCGTATCCTGAACTCATTGACAGGCTGGAAAACTGTCTCTTCGACACAAACGCACAAAAAAACATGTTTGTGCTTTTTGTACTCTAAGCCCAAGCCGAAATAAGTAATTGAATGAAGAGAAATGATTGATTTTGACATGGCAATCATTGCAGTTTCCTATGTCAAACTAACCCTGCATCTGTGACGGCTCCCTCCCAGACATATGGCCCTGCTGCTCAGCTAGCTGAAGGAGACGCAACGCCAGCATCATGTTTTTTAAAACGTCGTTCACCACCCTGATTGTCGGGGTTTTTGTGGTCTACGTGCTCCACACCTGCTGGGTGATGTACGGGATCGTGTACACCAAACCCTGCGACAACCCCAAAGGTGACAACTGCATCACACCCTTCCTGGCAGGGAACCCCAAACTACAGGTCAGTTATGCAGACAGGCAGATAGATGGATGAATGAATGGGTTGCTTTGCAGGTTAGAAAGAATACTACTAATAATATCTGTAAAATCTCTTTCTCTCTGTTTAATAGTTGAGCATCTACACTGCCCTGCAGGCAAATGCAGAAGGAGGCCATACCCTGATCCACAAAGAGGAGAACTTTGATGTCAACAACAAGTTTGAGAGGTTAGTGGAACTCACAAGTTTTCACGATAGTTGGGAAAGTGAATAGATTCTGTCTTCAGGCCTTAATTAAAATCAAAGCTGTGAAATCACTGAAGGACACTGAACAAAATGCTCAGCCTGCTGGTGGTTTAATTATCCAGCCAGATATGAAAACAGAATGTAATTTGTGTCTTAAGCATAGAAAACAGTGGCGTTGACATTTATTATTTCACATTTTATCCTGACAACATGGATATTTAGAGGTAATTTCATGATTTTGCTTTAAAGTCTGTGTTAAGCGGTAAAAAAAAAAAGTGTTTGCAGACAAAGATGTGACATTAACAACCAGCCAAGTTTGAGTGGTGAAAGAAATCCCCACATTTATTAAGTTGGGTTGCAAAGTCAGGAAATATGAGCAGTATTTGAAGAGTTCATTTGCAAAAACAGATAACTCCATTTTTGTAGATTTTCAGAAAACATATTTTGTTGTTGTCTGCTTGAGATAAAATCAATCAAACTGAAGTTGAGTGGTTTTGACTCAGTAGAAATAACAAAAATAGAGATATCTTAAGTTTGACTGATTGTCTCAGGTAGACGATGGAAAAGTTGGTTTTCTGAAGGTTTGTGAAGATGGAGTTATCTGTTTTTGCAATTGAACTCTTTATTTTTCTGTTCTGAATTCATGATGGTGTGTCGGCTAAAAGCGCTGATAGATCGCTTTTACACCAGCACAAATTAACCATATTAACTGTGCAAACGGATCTGAATTTGTTTTAACCAAACACAGCAGGTTCAATGTGAATTCACAAATGTATCTTGTAGATATGGAACATTTTGGTCAGTTTGTGGCTGAGGACGATGTTACCAATATAATAAAATAAGCACACGAGGCAGCTTAACACTCATTGGTGGACATGTAGTGCTGATAATGGGACCAGATGTCAGCGGGTTGGGAGGATTAAGGCCACAGGGAAGGACATGTTGATCTGGCCCCATTCACCAGTCGTGGATTATCCATAAATTCTAGTGGTTCCACTAAAAGTTTGTAAAATCACCCAGTGTGGAAAGGTCAGTGCAGAGGTGGGTGTTAGTGGTGATGCTTAGCTTCCATCAGTGTAGCTTTTAACAAAATCAGTCCACCTGTTCTTCATCTCATGATTCTCTAGAGGTTTAAATAAAGAGACCAGGCTATCCTGTGGCATCCAGGAACAATGCATTTAGTGGACAAAGGCATAGCTAGTTAGCACATTGTAGTACTATGGTGTAGTAACACATGATCAAGCAGGAGAGCCACTGATGCCAATGTGCTTTTGTTTTTCTAACATTTAGTGTTGGGGGTTGGGTTATCCAAAACATGTAGTCAAGTCCTGACTCACGATTCAGAACTAAATAGTTCATAGTGTTTCCTGTGTGTTAAGAACCAGGTCTTTGAACTTCCTTTACACATGTTATTATCATATCAATTTTAATCCTGACTCACACCATCTTTCTTCCTCTCTGTCTTTCCCCAGGATAGTCAATGTCTCCCTTCCTAAGAAAACCCGTAATAATGGAACCTTACATGCACTAATATTTGTCCATCAAGCCGGCGTCAGTCCGTGGCAGGATCAACGACAGGTCCACTTGGTGGCTCAGCTCACCACATACATGGTCCCTAAACCGCCTGAAATCTCTCTGATATCTGGAGAGGCTCAAACACAGGTACTGAGGCTGAAAATGAAAAGTGATCGTGTCTCTGTGTTGTTACTGAAATTATTTGTTTATTCTCTTCTTTCTGTGTTCCTTTATGATCTGTATGATCACACAGGGTCAGAAAGAAGAAGCCCAGCAGCAGAAGAAGCAGCATGATGGTAAACCTGCAGCAGGCAGTGGAGCCAGAGGTGGAGCCGCTTCTACGTCAGATCATCCAGTCTCCCACTGGCGCTCCCGCCTAACGCTCAACATCGTCAGCGACCACTTCCGGTTCGACAGAGAATACCTCCCCAGTGATGTCCACAGATACCTCAGAGTGTAAGATACACAAACACACGCGTCGCTGTGAGAGCAGTCTGGACATGACAAATGTAAAAAAAACAACAAAAAAAAACGACCAAACGCAATGGATGCTTATGTGTTCAGGCTTTGAATAAAGCAGTCCTACTGTTGTCATACTTGTATAGATTACAGAGAGCACCAGCACAGACATGACGTTTGGTTCAAAAGGCGTCGTAAAACTGTTTTATTTTCTGTTTCAGATTCCAGAATGGGAAGAAGATGGTGTATCTACCTCTGCTGTTTGTCGACGAGCTCAGCAACCGGGTCAAGGACCTTGTGGTAAGTTTTCGTTTTTAAATAAATATTATGCAACACACTGCAACTGCCTGTCAGCCAGTCCCAGTGGCAGATGTTCAAATGCACTCTTTCTTCTGTTGTTCTTTTTATTTTCTTACTGAACTTGTTTAGATGAATCCGGGCTCGTGACCCCGACCAAGTTCACATTTAAATGCTAACGTGTATGAGATCACAATATCTCATAATATAATAGTGTGTTGCAGAATACACACACTTGAGAAGCTCACAATAGAAAAATGTTACTGTTTGAAGTGACAACAGTTTTTGGTGTGTTTGTGTGTTTGTGTGTGTGTGTGTTTATGTGTGTGTGTGTAGGAGATCAACAGTACCTCCACGGAGCTCCCTCTGACTATCTCCTACGACTCCATCTCTCTGGGGAGGCTTCGATTCTGGATCCACATGCAAGATGCTGTTTACTCTCTGCAGCAGTTTGGTGTGTTAATCTCACACACACACAAACACACACACACACAACCACACACACACAAGCACTCACTCTAATTATGTGTGTCTGCCTTTATATTTTGCAGGTTTCACAGAAAAGGATGCTGATGAGATTAAAGGGATCTTTGTTGATACCAACCTGTACTTCCTGGCTCTGACCTTCTTCGTAGCTGCCTTCCATGTGAGTCTGACTGCAGAGTTATTGAATGTGCTGCAACAGCACATAAAGATAGGTTGACAGCAAAATTCTGAAGGCTGAATCATTACCCAAATTTAAATTCTACAGGTAGGGCAGCAAGTAGGGGTTGTTTGTTATGTGCTCTGCTGGTTTGATTTTCTGATGCAAACTCTCACCTCCTCGTGTCTTTCAAGGGTAGCTTATGTCTTGTCTGTCACTTTCTGCAGCTCCTCTTTGACTTCCTGGCCTTCAAAAATGACATCAGCTTCTGGAAGCAGAAGAAAAGCATGGTGGGAATGTCCAGCAAAGCAGGTTTGTAACTTCACAGCACTGCTTTATGTCATCAACCTCTTCAATATATAGAACACAGTGAACTGTTAGGAACGCCAAGTGATTTAATTCCACACGATACACTTCTGATTACTAGTTAAATAGACTATGTACAGAACATTACATAGAAACGGTGTAAACCAAATGAATACAAGAAACCAGGCATCACCTGTGTGTTTGTGTGTATTCTGACTCAGTGACTCTCGACTGCTGGGCGGCCAGATGCTGCATCCTGCTTCCTTCTGCTCACCTTTATGATCTCAGATACATTAAAAAAAACTGACAGAGTAAGGGATGCTCTTGTGTGTTTACAAGAATTAGACATCTGGAAAATGCTGTTGAGCGATACGTCACCTGCAACAGTACAAGCAAAGAGCACTTGTGTGTTTCTGAAATTTCTTCTGGTTCTTTTTTACTGTGTCATGCAGACCAACAGTACTGGCACGGTGAGAGTCTGGATTCATGAATCTGTTGAGCACAAGCTAAAAAACATCAGGGTGGACATGCGGTCAAACAGCATGACCCTGCAAATTGCAAATGCACCAAAACTGTGGAAAATTACGGAAAGGTTTTCACACTGTGGGACATTAAGTGCTATCTCGAGAAAATCTGGTCGTAATGTGAACCAAACGGTCGGTCATCAGAGTCGCTAACTTTGGCAGAGCCGTTACTGCATCACATTTTGTGTTTGTACGTCCTTTCTTTCAGTGCTGTGGCGATGCTTCAGTACCATCGTGATTTTCCTATATCTGTTTGATGAGCAGACGAGCCTGCTTGTCCTCATACCTGCTGGGATCGGCTCGATCATTGAAGTAAGTGCACGTTCACTCAGCATATACACACACAGACACGCTGACAAATCCACCAACAGTATGTTGAAACTATCATATGTGTTAATGTGTTTGTTGCAGGTGTGGAAAGTGAAGAAGGCCTTTAAGATTCAGGTTTTCTGGAAAGGAGGCAAACCAACATTCCTTGTAGGTGTACATGTGTTTATAAGTATAATCTTTTCCTCTTGATCTGCCATGTGTTTACTTGCTCAGTTTAAACAAATCCCATATAGCACAACACTGTAATACTAAATTAATTGACATTTTGGCTTTCAGTCTGCAGGCTGTCTTCTTTTTTTTTGTCCCAAATTGCTGTGAGTTGACAAAACTCCCTGCAGATAAAGGAGCGATAGTCATATTGGTCAAAATTAAGACAGCACATATTTCCATGCAGCAGTGTAGTTACTATTACACATCTGTAATAGAAAACTCGTACACATTTTAATTGGAAATGCTAAATTAGGCCATTCTAATGATCATTGACAGTTCTACAAAATGTGAAAACATGTATTCAGAGTGTTCATGTGTTGTTTTTTTTTTGTGAAACAGTTTGGAAAATTAGATGAATCAGAGAGGAGAACAGAAGAATATGACACTCTGGTAAGAGGATCACACACACACAGAATCAAATATAATTCAAAAATGTTTTCTACAATTTCTAATCATATGGTATAAAGTCAGTAGAAAAGCTAATCGTTCCATTCTTTGGCCTCTTTGTAGGCCATGAAGTATCTGTCGTACCTCCTCTACCCGCTGTGTATTGGAGGAGCGGTGTACGCTCTGATATTCCTGCGATATAAGAGGTAGGATTCTGTGTGGATTAAATTATTGCAAATATTGTGATGCTGAGAAGTTGTTGCTTAACTTGACTGTTTTCTGTTTCAGTTGGTACTCGTGGCTGATCAACAGTTTGGTCAACGGTAAGCTCTTTTATACTCTCAACACCAAACACTTTTTTGCTAATGGAGACGGGTGACGGATTAACTCAACTGCTTCTTAGTAAAGTGCTGGGCCACCTTGTGCAACCGCTTTAATGCATCTCAGCATTGATTCTCCGAGATTGAACACCGTTGTTTAAAAAATCCTCTGTCATTTGGTGTTTTAATGATAGTGATAGAGAGAGGTTAAAGCAGGTGAAGGCCACAGCATACGATTTACCTCATTTTCACACTCATTAAACCGTTCAGAGACCCCTTGTGACCTATAGCTCTTCCCTCTAAGGGGACAAGTGGACCCAAACCTTGTTAGCATAATGCTCCCCACAGCATAACAGAGCCACTGTACTCCCATAACTGTCGGGGTCCAGGTTTTTCCTTTTACTCACATTTGCCACCCGTTTATACATTTAGTTTCTTTCTTTTTGCATTCTTAATGAGCTCTCATTCTATCCTCTCTATTGCAGGTGTATATGCCTTTGGGTTCCTCTTTATGCTTCCTCAGCTGTTTGTCAACTACAAGGTCAGTATTATCTCAAAGACAAAAAGACCAGTTAGAGGGAAACTAGGCAAGTGTCCTCATTAGCAGAAGAAATGTTCAGGAATTGAGTAAAGAGTCGAGAAAAAATATACCTAGCATTCCATTAGATTTTTGTTCTTCATCATATAAACATCCCAGTAACACATTCTGCCCTATTCTTCATTTGAAAGCTGAAATCTGTGGCCCACCTGCCCTGGAAGGCCTTCATGTATAAGGTGAGAGCACATCTTTTGTTCATTCATTACTTGATTTGATTATTTCAAGTAGTGAATATCTTCATCAGTGATGAGTGCAGCTGAAGAACAGTAATTGACACTGATCGACTGTTACCAGGCGTTCAATACCTTCATCGACGATGTGTTTGCCTTCATCATCACCATGCCAACGTCTCACAGACTGGCCTGCTTCCGAGACGATGTGGTGTTTCTCATTTACCTTTACCAGAGATGGTACGCGCAGACACACCTCATACACACCACACACATTACTGAATCACCAACAAAACCGTTTTCTAACCTAAAACTCTGCCTCTTCTCCCCTTCAGGCTCTACCCAGTGGACAAAACGAGAGTAAACGAATATGGAGTTTGTTATGATGAAAAACCCAAAGGGAAGACTCACAGAGACTAGAAAGGACAGATGGGCTTCCACGATCTGGACTCTGTGGGTATTGTCTTGTTTCCACTGGTATCACCTGACCTGAGTTTGCCAGTCTTGTGGAAACAGTTTTTATTTTGGGTCAGTTAGTTGTAAATGGACCAGCTGCATTAACCTTCTCCTGACTGTTTCACCTTGTCACCAAGTGTTGAAAGGGCAACATCTGCTTATCTGTCTTTTGCAGCCTGGAGAGGTATTTGATGTTTTGCTGTGTGTGATGGGACACGAGGATCAATAAGCTACATCTGTGACCCTTTTAAACTGACACAGCAACCAGGAAAAATTGTGTGTGTGATTAGTGTGAACACCTCCTCATGGCCTGAGAATAGATCAGACGTTGCTCACTTCTGGTATGACAGACTACACCGATGACTACAGTAGCTTCACTAAAGTAGATATTGGTGGCAGCTTTTCTGCCATAAATTCTACTCTTCCTTTTTAAAAAAAACAAAACAAAACACCCAGTCATGTTTGTTGGAACGAGTCCATCCTTTAATATCACAGACTTTTGTTTTTAGTTTCTAACTTGGATGTCTGCAAATACTGACTTTGTTGTGACAAACTGCCGGAGTAAAATGTGATTTATTACACTGGCAGGGATTCACAGTTAAAGCTGAAGCCACCTCTTGAGAACCATTGTAAAAGCTGTACTGTCTGGATTTTAATTGCCCTGTCAGAAACGCGTTTTTATCATTTTTAAAGGTTTTTACATTTACAAATTTCCTTTCACTGACATTTTGATAAGAGACTGGTTCAGTCTGCTTTGAGAAACTGATGCAGTATATGTAGGCATTGTAGAGCTGCTTTGCTCATCTGAGGGGCTTTATTCATCGAGGCTACATAATCCAGCTGCTTGTTGTAAACCTGCCAGATACCGCAACCAGGATGACTACAAAGTTAGCTTTCATGTAAACTCAAAATGTGACAGCACGGCTACACAGATCGCGTGTTTCGTCTAAAATGGCATTATATCTTTTCAATTTGGGTTTACCTAACCTTGAACAAGGGACTTCAGCAAAATGTGAAGCCTCCCTGCTTGTTCGCTTTTTCAAGTACTTCCATATTATTCCATAAGCACTAGGTTTGATATGTCAGAGCTGTCAAAAACATCCATTCGTAATTATAGCTTAGGTGCTGAAGTGAAAGCTATTTACAAGTCAGAAACTGGTAATCAAAGCAACTCAATATGACATGAAAGCTGCATTAGGCAAAGGTCGGCGGTACAGAAACATGAGTGGACGTTTTATAGCTCAGTTAAATACACTTTTCCAGAAATTATATGAAATTATGCTAATTGCGTTTAAAGATTTCTCACTAAAAGGGCTGTCAGAAAGTATCAATGTGTAGATATTTCAAAATTTTAATCTGAAATTATCGTGTTGTAAAAGTTGGCATATGTCAGGTCTGGGACAAACTCCAGAACGATGCTGCTCGAATACACTGTATATAACATGCTTACAAACTAATGCAGTTGCAACCAAGGCAAGGGGAACTTCAGACGTAACAGAGGAGTCAGACATTAAAAACATCACTTTAAAGAATTTTACTGTTGAAGCATGTAATGGTACAAGGTTCTAATTAGTTGCCACGGTGATGGCAGCATCATTAGAGAATCTTCGGCTGCATTAGAGGCAGAGAAGGAATGTGAAGAATGTGATTTTTTTTTTTTTTTTAATTTTTTGGGCCACGGAGACGATATGAATTGCCTGAACATTCCAGGATGTGTGAAGTTGAACTGTGTGTTTTTCCTGCTCCGTCTGATGTTAAATGAAACTGATTTTATTACACTGTAAGACAACTGGATACAACTGTACTGTCTTTTCCATCCATTCTAGTTTTCTAGTTTTACCTGTCTGAGTATTTCTTACATATCAGGGCCAAGAAAAAATGTTAGTGCCAAATGTGAGAATGTTTGTATGTTCACCATAAATGATCCATCTGATGTTTTTAAATAGACACTGACATTGTGGGGGGAATAGCAATGCTAAGACAAGAGTATTACTACATCTGGATTTACAACTTCACATTTTGATTTCTTTGCTAATGTTATGCATTTTTAAATTAGAAACACTCTACTTCAGTCTTCTTCATGTTCAGGTATCAGGATATATTAGATCTGTGTACAAAGATACAGCGCAGGTTTTCTGTTCCTGAGTAAATGAAGCCAGGATAGATTTGCCAGAAATTTGCCTTGAAATGGTTTTACTTGTTGTAAAGTTTGTGTTTTTGATTGAGATGAAATAAAAATGACTGACTTAACATGTTGTTTGCAGTGTACAGTTTTCTCTTTTTTCTTTTAAATCACAGGAGCTGCAGGAACCAAAATGCACAAATGCAGAGTCAAATTACTTATGTAGCACATTTAAGACAAGGGCCACTGAGCCAAGGTGTTTTCCAACAGAGAAATAAGATTGGCAGTGCAAATATATCTAACAGGTTTAAATATTATGATAAGGATCCTAAGATATTACATAAAATACTACTTTATTTAAGCAGTACATTAAGAACCCATGGTAATATATACGTAGACTTAGATAAACTTTAATGATCCACAAGGGAAGATGTTTTATCACAATAGCAAGTGCACAAAATGATTAATGATATAAGAATATTCAAAAAAAGCATAGAATATACTCTAACAAATTATAATTTTATATGGATTTACAAGTAAAGAACCTCATCAGAAAAGTATTGAAACGTACAAAGAAAAAACAGAAAATAATTGTTATCATAAAAGATCTGTAATTTTGCAAGGAATAACGACCTGAGGAAAGAGTAGTGAGTAAAATACGACCATACGTTTTCTGCGTAATGACGTCAGAGGCACGCAAGCCTGACGTACTATATATTCTAAGCTCCCGCCCTCCCCCCTCCCTTTTCCGCTCTCGGAAGCTAACGTGCCTAAAGTGCTTGGTTCTTCATCCGAAGCTAAGGCCCGCAATCCGGCGACTAGCACCCTCAAATTTAGGCATCCAACGCTAAAAACCTAAAATCTAACATCTAAAATGGCCTCCGTGTCCGAGCTCGCCTGCATTTACTCCGCTCTGATCCTCCACGACGATGAAGTCACCGTCACCGTAAGTGCCCCGGTTTACCTCCCGTCAGCTCAGCTTATAGCCCTCCACGGAAACTGTTGTGTATATCCGTGAACGGCCTGAATCACAAAACGGGGATAGTAAGGCTTCCACTGATGAGCTGCGGTATAAATGTGTTCTTTAAACCATGAATTTAGGTGTGCGTTTGCCCAAACTGCCCCATGTACCGGCTAAAATGGCGCCATGTTTGTTGCTAACGTTAGGCCACGTTCCTGGACAGCTCTGGTGACTGTTGTGACTCTCATACTTTATATAAACAAAGTGTAGCAGGGTGTGTTGTGAGTCGCTGTGTGTCTCAAACTTATGCTGCGAAAGTTCCAGGTTTACGTAGGTCATGCTCTTATTGACAAGTGCTAGCTAACGTAAGCTAGTGAAAAGTAAATGCTACACAAGTCCCACATTTACAGTAAAGTCATCACTATGCTAAGTGCGGTAGTTTACTGTAATGCTGAGTGTAAACAAGCTTTAAGACATCATCACATCATAGTCGGTTGTCTGACAGGTGGCCACACGTGGATGCAGCTAAAACAGCCTCATGAGTAGAAACCCTGATCTAGTATCTTGGCAATGAATTACCCACCATCAGCAACAAGTCATCATTCTGGTCAGCAATAAACCGATCAGTAGTTGGTTATTGTTTAATTTATTGGCTGTTGAAATCATCCAGCTCAAATTTTAAGAGTAGTTAGAATAGCTGTAGTGGAATAGATTATGTCCTGTGTTAAATTAGCGTACTTTATGGCATCATCTACCAGCAAGCAATAAAAGAAGATAGAAGTTTCTGTATTGTTGTACTGATGTTATGCATTAAGCCATTGTAGGAGTCAGCTCTGGCTGTAAGTGGGAAAACATTGATTTCTTTATACTAATCCTCGTTTCTGTCTCTGTAGGAGGACAAGCTGAATGCCCTGATCAAGGCCGCCGGAGTCACCGTGGAGCCCTTCTGGCCAAGTCTGTTTGCCAAGGTGAGACTTTGATTAATTTATTATACATGTTGTGCAATGATGATCTAGAAAAGAGTTGTTTGTGCAACTTGGTGAGAGGTGCTGCTGAGACTTAATCAGGACTTCTGTGAAAACCTGATTTTTTGGCAGAGCAGATTTCCCATCACATACAATCAGAGTTCTGCTGACGAGCAGCTCCTGTTTTTTTTTGTGTGTGTTTGGGTCTTAATGTCTGAGGGTTCTGATAAGTTTGAGGTTCAGTTGGAACTACAGAAATGTGAACTATGTACAATATTGAAAGTGGCTTCAAACAGGAAGATTTTCTGGTTGTATATATTACCGTGTTCATCAAATCAGAATCAGAAAAAAACGTTATTTATCCCCGAGGGGCAATTAGGTGGGCAAAGAGCAACACATTAGAAATGAGCAAGAGAAAGAAAAAATCCACAAAAAACGGGGGTGGGTGAAAGCAGCAGATTGTGTGCAGTGGCAGGTCTGCTGCCAGCAACGGGGTGAGTGTTGCTGCAGAGGTAGTACGGTACAAGTGTCCATATAAGTGTCATGTAAGAACAATAGATTATGCACAGCAATAAATTAAAAATACATTGTAATATTGCACATGAGGACAGTGTAGTTATTGCACATGAGCAGTGCAGCAGAAAGATGAAAATGTTGAGTGTTTAATTAGACATTGAATATTTTGTACAACTTGTAATGGGCTGTTCACAATCAGATATTTTAAAGTGCACTATAAGTCAGTAATTGAACTTTTTAAACTGCACCTGCCTGACTTTGTGAATGTGAGCAATCGCAAGAGTGATGCTGAAGCTTAGTGACCATCAAAATGAAAATGTCAGAACACTGGCGGAACATGAGTCAAGACTTTGTGAATGATTTGTGTGGAGGATTTGACTGTTGTGTGGGATTTCTAAAATTAGTATTCAGGTGTGCTCAATGTAAACTGTCCAAATCCTGTATAAAACAGTAGAGTTGGTGTTATGTCTTAGTTATCCAGGCTTGTGTAGAACTCAGCAGAACAAGGCCAGGATGTGTGAATGATGTCACTGACCTGTGGATGTTGTCGTCCTGTAGGCTCTGTCCAGCATCGACATCGGCAGCCTGATCTCCAACGTTGGAGCCGGTGGTGGAGCCCCAGCTGGAGCCCCCGCTGCTGCTGCTGCCTCTGCTGGTGACGCCCCAGGTAACTGGACAAATAGTGGTTTAAGTTTGAAAGTTTAGACAAGCTTAACATTCAGCAACACTACAATTGCATATCCATAACAGTAATATCCATAAAGTCTCAGATTGCAATCCGCCATCCTTAGTTTAGTGGTGGTCAGGTTGTGGTTGTGATGCAGTGGTACAACTTACAGACTTTCTACATGTTTTAAAGTCTTAAACACAATCCTTGATGTGTGTGTTTGATAGCGTAACCTACATCATTGATTTTAACCATATCTTGTTTACCTCTACAGCCAAGGAGGAGGAGAAGAAAGAGGAGAAGAAGGAAGAGTCCGAGGAGTCCGACGACGACATGGGCTTCGGTCTCTTTGATTAAAAAAGCTGTTTTTCTAAGAAAACACAATAAAATCACAAAAATGAACGGTTGTCTGGCTCCTTGCTCTGTTCTGTAGAAAAAGTCCATGTTACTTTTTAAATTAAATCTTTTTAAAGCAGACATTTACCTTTTTAATTACCTGATAACGACACTTCACTGGAAATCCTCTGATTGTGACGCACACATTAATGAATCAATTATAATCCAATAATGTAGTTTTCTGAAGTGGTTCATTCTGCAAAGTGATCCCTTCAGGTGCTTAAAATGTACTTTGATGTTATTGTGTTTATTTATACAGGACAGCATATTTACATTGCAGTCTTGTAACTTCTATTTAAAGGATCTAAACACTTCTCCAGCTGTGAATAAGTGTAGAGGACCATCTCTACACCTTTGAACAAGCAGTTATATGAATGACATTTGCCCAAGGAAGCAAACTATGTGATTAAGAATGTTTTGTTAGCATATGTGCATAAATCACAACAAATTATAAACAATTGTCTAACCATTAAAAACTAAGTACAAACATGCATTATGAAACTGAGGATAAATATAAGACCTTAAAATGTAGGCAATATGGCTGCTTGAACATGCTGCTGTTGGCAAGATTGATCTAAACTCTAGTTTTCAATAATAATTATTTTAATTTTCTATCACTAATATTCTGCCCATCAAGTAAACACAGTCACTGTAAGGCTTTTGTGTATTTTGTTAAAATCAACACTAAATTCTGAATGATCAAACACAAAACAACAACTGGCATGTTCACATAAAAAATAAATAAAGGAAATTAACAATACTGCCTGATCTTGTCTGATGTGAGAAGTTGTTGCATCTCAGTATTGTGAACTAAAAGCCTTTTTACTTTATTACTGTACAAAACAGTGAAAACCCCAATTACATTCCTCAGATTGACTCAGAAATATGTACAGTTCAATTCAACATTACTGCATTAAATTGTGAACCCTACTTACAGATGGCTTTTCTTAGTACAGCATAGTTGTGATAAAATGTCCCCAAAATCCTACTTGTGGTCAAATATATATGACATCCCCAGTAATGAGGACAAGCATAAGGACTGAACGGAGAAAGTCAAGCTAGAAAACTTATAGGAGAAATGCCTGAAACAGAATTAAGTAGAAAATAGAACCCAATGGGGAGTGTGGAAATGGCAGATCAGTTGATAAAGGTGTAAAAATAAACTGTAAAAATGAGCTGCCATAACAACTTCATTGTAAACAATAACCAAGGCAGTTTACGGAGGTCAATATATATATATGTGTGTGTCGAAAATGCTGTAGCAGTGTTAGTAGCCTCATATAATGACAATGTGTTGTTATAAATATAGTCCGCCCCCTTTTACCCACAGATGATGTCTAACGCTTTAAGAGTGCATCCACGATAGGACCAGGCGGGGGTGGCACAAGCCATCTCACCGATTTCAATCAAACTTTGCCAGTTTAAAGGGGTCCACCCAAAACTACTTCAGTCTAAGTTCAAAGAAATTTGGTCAAACTGGGGGATTTCACCACCCCTCCTTGTTTTGTTTTTTTTGGCAAAAATGACCAAAAATCGCCCAAAAAAATGGTCAGAAGTATAAAGCTCTACTGCTGTAAGAATTCAACCAAATCTTTTCATATTTTCAGTGAATGTTATCCTACCCAAGGACAATCTATTGTCAATGTTTCGTTCTCCTATGACGAGTTCCATCACACAAATCATGTCAGCCAAGACCGCCTCTCTCACCCAACAGTGAAAACTGTTAAAATACCCAAAGTTTAGGCCAAAATATCTCCGGTGCCCAAGCATGCTTCAAAAAGCTGAGCATACCATCTAAAAGGTGGGACTTCACACTAACATTATCTGCAAAAAAATCTT